TACTTTGCCATATAAAAATATTATCACTATTTTTTTCAATACAAAAATGGGCAAAACAATGTTGCAGGAAAATGATTGGTTTATTTGCGAACGATTTGTGTGTTTTTTGGAGGTTTTTTATGATTCTACTGTTTTATTATCTGGTATTTATTATCCTACTTCTCCATTAGTGTTGCATCAAATTTGTGAGATTACAGACTTATTTGAAACGTATAGAAATGATATATTATTTAAACCGATAGTAGAACAAATGGAAGTAAAGTTTAGGAAATATTGGTCTGAAATTCCTCTATTGTATTGTTTAGCAATTATTTTGGATCCTAGAGTAAAATTATCCGGTCTTGGAAATGTTCTTTCTCATATCGGTGGCCAGTTGGATATAGATTATACTTCACAGGTTGTTAACACACGTGAAAAGTTATTTGAGATTTATGCAATTTACGAGAACAAGTTCGGTAACTTGACAACTCAACAAACGTAACAAGATCAGCCGGCCCGCTCAAAAAAGAAGTTTTGGAATTTTATATCTTCTCATCGTGGTGGCTCTAGTTCATCATCAACTGCGACTCCGAGTGTCATGCCACCACCATCAACACCAACGACGACACAATATACGGAGCTCAACAGATACCTTGAGACAGAATTCTCGGTGATAGATGGTGCTGATAATGATGACAATTTCAAAATTTTGGCATGGTGGAGGCTACAAGGTGTAAGATTTCCAATACTTTCAATATTAGCACGTGATATCTTAACTATTCCAGTATCAACGGTGTCTTCAGAATCTGCCTTTAGCACAGCTGGGAGGATAATTGAAGAACGAAGGACTTCGTTGACTCCAGAAATGGTTGAGGTGCTAATATGTCTAAAAGATTGGGAAAATGCTTCTTTGCAAATGCAACACACAGCCGAAAATAGCGATTTAATAGATCAATTTCAAAATTTATACATTGACGATGACGCTTCTGATGCGGGGAGTAGTGTAGCAGGCAGTTAGATATTTTTGTTTCTTAATATAAATTGTAACTGTAAAAATAATACTGCACTCTTTTTTCCTTACCAAGGTTTTATCCCAATGGGTTTTTCTTGGTAAGGTTTTTAATGAGGCAGTTATAAATACATAAATAAAGTCTTATTTCATTAAAATTTTACAATATTCACTATTTATTATAAATTTCGTTTTATTTTTTTAATAGTTTTATAAATTATGCTCGGACCGGGCCGATTCGGGCCGGCCCGGCCAGAAATGATAATTCGGGCCGCCGGGCCCGGGCCGGGCCGGGTGGCCCGAATTTTCAGCTCTGGAGGTCACTTTAGTTCCATTCCAAGAGGAGAGCTTTTCCATGTGCACAAGAAGACGTGTCCTTGCTTATTTTTAAAAATATTTTAAACACCAAAATTAAAATCATATTTTTTTTAGTATTGTGGTGTAAGGACCTATTTAATTCACTAATTTAAATTTTTAATTTAAGTTAAAATATAATTTTATGTGAAAATTTTTTACTGTAGTAAAAAAATTAAATGTGACTATTTTTAAAAAAATTTTAATATAACAAAGCTCAAATCGCTATAATAAACGGGAGTATTAACCTTAAAAATAAAAATAAAATTTACTATAAATATGTGTGTTAAAATATATTTATTTTAATCATTATATATATGCACAAAAATTTTGTACATAATTTAATAAATACCTAAATTTCTACATATTATTTTGTCACAATAACTTCGGATTAACAACACAATCACAAGAAAAGTTTTCAACACAACAATGCTAAATTGGGCATAATAGAAATTTGATAGTCTCTTGGGTGTTTGATTATCTGGGGAATGATTTAAGGGGATGATTCAGAAGCTGAAACACATGATCACTGGTGCTGACAGGGAACAAAAAAGTTTTGAGATTTGAAGCCTTTATCCTTTGGCTGTTAAGTGTACTGGTTCTTCTTCTCTATATAGTCAAATCTAATAATGGGCTACTTTGATTCAAAAGGTGCTCTAGTTGTACAAGATATTGAGGATTATTTGATGCCTTTGAATTTTTCTGGCGTAAATTTTGTCATTCAGGTTGAAACTCACCAGCTCATGGAATGGCTACATGGGTTTTAACTTCTGAGGATTTTTCTGTTGCATGGTTGGATTCTTTTCCCTGAGTGGCTCTGAATAAAAGTTCTTTTTTTTTTTGTGAGAACGATAATATTAATAACAACAACAGCAGCACCAGCAACAAAAACAACAACAATTTATTGTATTAATGTAAACTACGCCATGACTTCACACACAGTATTGAGATTATTATGAGAATCCACAACGAACCTTAACTGCAGAGGAGAATGCGGTTTTCAAGTGCTCGTAGTTGTTATGAAGAGAGCAACTCACTTGAAACTGAAAGGCCATGGATGAAGATGCCATCTCTCTCTCTCTCTTCTCTCTCTCTATATATATATATATATATGTTTGGTAAAGAAATGTGTAGATGTTATGTTTAGCGTGTTTTATTGGATGAAGATGCCCTCTCTCTCTCTCTCTCTCTCTCTCTCTCTCTCTCTCTCTCTCTCTCTCTCTCTCTCTCTCTCTCTCTCTCTCTATATATATATATATATATATATATTGGTAAAGAAATGTGTAGACGTTAGTGCCTATGTTTTTTGAGAATAAAAAAATGAAAATGCTCTCAACGCGTTGGCACCGCGTTTCTTAAAAACAAAAGTTGAAAACGTTTTACATCTATTCCCAAAAAATAGCAAATCTGAAAACGATACTCAATCATTTTCCCCATTTCCATTTTCCCCGGAAAGAAATGTGTTTAGTTTTGTGCATTTCAAGTTTATTTAAGAGACGTTTTAGTTCATGTATTAGAATTATGTGATTAGAATTATTTTCGATTTACGTGTATTTTTTATGAGAGAAAACACTATAATAAATCATGTGTAATGACTGAGAAAATCCCATACCTTAAATAATACAATTTATGTATTTAAGCCAAGGATTTTCCTAGAAAATATTATGTTATATTGTGAATGAAGGATTTATGGAATTAAAATCTGTATTCCTAAATTCTGTAGCAAATTTCATGTTAAGTTTATGTTTTCAATTGAGTAAGTTCGATCGATAAATTCTCGCTGTACTTTAAGGCAGAATAATTTTCAGTACAAGTATAGTTTGAGAATCTTAATTTCAAGAATCTCCAAACACAGCATGATGTTAGCAGCGTATAAAAAAAACGCACTGACATTTTAAAAAAAGTGAAAATCCTTAATTGCCGACAGCTAGGTTAAAGTCAGAAGATAAATACCCATAGTAAAAGGGTACAATGTGAACTCGGGAGTTGACACCGTCAGAAACAACGTCATTTCCGGGAATTAACGCAGGAAAGTTAAATTTAGAATTTGTTCAATCTAGAATTAATTTCAAGACTGGAAACAGTTCAAGATATTACGCGAATAAGAATTTAATGTGATATCCAAAGCAGTCAAGGATTTAACATTTAACTGTAAATAAGCAGTAGAAAAAGGAGCCGTCATAAATGGAAACGAATTCCTGTCTGCTAAGTTATTTTCTTATAGTCAGTATAATTTTTATCAGTTTCAAAGGGAAACTTAAGAAAGTGGACAAGAGTACAATGGGGTAGGTGAGATTTTTTTCTCTCTCTTTCTCCACTTGGCCGGCCATGCATGCAAAAATAGAGCCAAACCTTTGGCTAGTGGAGTGTGCTAGAGGACTTTATGTTAAGGTGATGTGATGTTAGTGGTTGAAGGGGAATTAATGGCAAGTTGCTTCTTCTTTTCTCTTTCCAAAACCGGCCAAGAAAGGGGGATTTGAACCAAAAATTTGGTTGAATGATGGAGTGGAATTGGTGTTAAAAAAATAATTTCCAAGTTGCCTATAAAAGGAACCAACATAGGATAAGCTTCATTTTTTTTTCTCCTAGCTTTTTCCCCACTCAAAAATCCGGCCACCCTACAACATTTCCTCTCAAATGTTTTCCTCCACTCTTCCAATCTTGAGCCACTAGCAAACCATAGAAGAAGAAGAAAGAGATCAAAGGGTCTAGGAGGAGACTAGTCAAGCATTCCTCCAAGGGTAAGGAAACTCTAAACCCTCTCTTTTTATGTTTTAGTAAAGTTTGAAATGTAGAAATATTCCTCTTAAATTTCCTTATACTTTCTAGTTCCAAGCCATTAACAAATCTTAGAGGAGTTCAAAGGTTTTCAAGGGAGAGAGAGAGTTCTTCAAGGGTAAGTTCTCAAACTCTTCTCCATTAATTTCTAGCCAACTTTAAGCTTGGATTTATGGATGTAAATTTGTGGTTCTTGAGGAAGATGTGTTGTAATAAGGGTGTGTGAGTTTTATGTTAGTTTTGTGAGTTATGAGGTTAGTTTAATGTGGTATGATTATGCTTGATTTAAGTTTCCTTATTTCCGGTTAGAGGAAAAATTTCCAGTCACTTTGAACGCGAAAATAAGAACCCTAGAGCGAGATTTTTCAATGTTTCAAAACTTAAACTTATAGCCCTCGATGTTTTGAACATTTTCTATGACTATGACAAAATCCAATTTTAACTCTAAAAGCAAGTTTGAAGCCAGTTTGTAAAAACGGACGGGCTGTCAAACACAGTTTCAGAAATAGAAAAAAAGGGGCGATTGCTACAGCATTGCTACAGCAATCCTACAACATTTTTAAAAGAAGATTTGCTGCAACAATCCTACAGCATTTTAAAAGAGATTGCTACAGCAATCCTAAAACCTTTTCAAAAAGATTGCTACAGCAATATTAGAAGATTGCTGCAGCAATTCTATATCATTTTTAAAAGGATTGCTACAGCCTTATTAAATGATTGCTACAGCATTGCTACAGCAAAAGAAAAAAAAAAACAGCAGCCACTGTTTTAAGTTAAACGAGGCCTTTAGAGGCTAAATTTCAACTTTCTATAAAAATGATAATTTTATATCTCGACGAGTTGAAGAATTGTCGTGAAGAACAGATTTTCAAAATCCGAATCTAAGATGCAGATTTCAGAAACTGCACAGTTTTAATAAAACGAAACTAAAACAGTGACGTTTTTAACAAAAGGTTATCAAAGAACCCGAGATGTGATTTCAGTAAAATAATATGGTTTTAGACCTCGCTTTAATGAGGAATATCCGTGAAGAAAGATTTCAAAAAAATAGGAGTTTCTACAACATAGTTTCACGGTGGTTTACAAGTCAACCGTAAAACGACTTGGGGAATAGTTTTCAAAAGTCGATATTCGAAAAGAGATTTTACAACGGGATTTTAGTGCTTGTAACTAAATGAGTGAGTTATCGTTTTATAAAAATCGAATGATAGTTCTTTTAAAAGCTTAATAGTTTTCGAGCAAAACATCCCGACGGGCACTTACAAGCCCAACACGATAGGTCCTTAGAATTTCGAGGATTTGATGTGGGTCCAACGCCCGCATTAATTTAAGAAACTCCGTTAGAGTTTAAATTTCAATGGCCTAAGAGCTAGAATGCCGTGAATAAGTTTCTAGGCCGAATTGGGCCTTAATAATATAATGAGTCCAATGAGGAAATATTATGGAGAATAAGTTACTAGATTGGGTAAATGATTTTCAACCTAGACATAAGTATGTTAAGGGCAATTAAGGAAAATAAGATTTTGAGGATTTAATAAATTGATCCTTATAGTAAATTATCCTTCAGTAAAGGAAAGGAATACATGCCTTAAGTAAATGGTTAGATTTCCTTCATAAGCTGCTAAAATAAAATAGCAAACGACAGATAATCTCACACTCTCAATGGGTGTTCATTTTCAGAAGTAAGCAACTAAGAGAACAGGCTGTTTGGCGAAAAGTGGATTCTAGCTCTGTAAATCAGGTAAGCAGGAATCTCGCCTACAATATGAATAGATTTTAAAGAAAAAGTTACACATGTTATATATGCATGTTTATGCTTTAAGTATTGTATGCGATGCTATGTCATGCTGCATATACATAAACAGCGCACATGAATTATATGTGCTTGAGTTAATTTAATGTTATGTATACTATGCTAGATCATACTGCATACACTTAAGCAGTGCACATGAAGTATATGTGTTTGAGTACATTCCATGTTATAGTATGCTATGCTATGTCATATTGCATACACCTTAATAAGTCAAGAGGAACTTATAAGAATAATATCAGTTGAGTGCCGTACCAGCCTCCACAATGGAGGTAACTCAAGCTCCACAAGGGAAAAAAGAAAATAACAATAATGTCCTCCGACTCAAGGGAGACATTCAAGTTATAATCACGGTGTCGTGGGGGACCTTGCAAACCCTCACGTTCCGATGATTGCGCACAAGTGGTACGCGAGCACTCAGACCCATCAGTAAGAAAGATAAGATAAGATAATAATACTATGATAAGACATTATAATTAAGCATAATCAGCTCATGCATATTTATACATGTGAACTTACAGTTATTTTGCGAGAGATAGTTCCTACTTGCTGAGCGAAAGCTCAATCAGATATGTTAATGCTGTAGGTAAGAAACCTATGAGCAATTCTTGAAGGGTGGTGGCGAGCGGCGGGCGAATGGTGGAGATGGGAATGGATACCGCTCACCGTTAAATCTTCCACAGTAAGTTAAAGTAAAATCATGTATATGTATATATGATTCAAAGGTTTCAAGCACGTATGTTTAAAAAGTATACATACATATGTATGTTAAGAGAACTGAGGTTGTAGCTAACAACCCTATTCTTGAGTTTTTAAGTTTTAGAACGTTGCAATAGTGCATGCAACAAATAAACGAATTTTTAACATGACGGTTTAAATGATTGATTTTGAAAGGACTTTAAGAAGTACTTGAATTTAAGATTTCTCACGAAATTCGTTTTAAGGTCAAATTAGATGGCCCGAATATATTGGCTAGTTTTAAAAAGGCTTTTAAAGAGTATGTGAAACAAGAGTTCAAATGTCACTCAATTCGAAAGATATTTTTAGAATGTTTTATCTTAACTAAAATTAAGAAAAGCTTTAAGTAATTTAGTGATTCATTCTTTTGAAATCATTGTTACGAATTATGGAAGTATTCTTTCTTATGTTTAAAAAAAAAAAAATATTCCGCAAATTTTAAGAAACCCCAATAAGTACAAGTTAAAAAGTAAGCTACGGTGGCGGTCTCGTAAGAGTGTCGTTACATCATAAATTATGATTCAAATCATGATATAAATCTTCCAACTAAACAACACGTTGATCTTTGATCCCCATCTTAACCCATATATGATCTTTCTACCAATAAACCCTTACAGCCATATATATTCTTCGATTACCCAACCAATTTTGTTGCCCACCAACGATACTTTAAGCTAGAGTTGACATTTCCCTTTTTCTTTCTTGCGATGGAGATCGCCCTTGTTCTTTGATGGCGGTGCTGATGAAGTTCCGGCGAGGAATTTTTCGATGGCAGCGTGAAGTCTCCATTCTCGAGTGCACCTCTTCCCCCATTGCCTCAACTCATTTCTGAACTCTCTTCCTTCGGCACCGTCGACGGCGTCTATGGTCTTTTGACTCTCTCCTCGTCGCCCACCGTCGACAACTCCGTCAATGATGTCTTCGTCTGCCGTGTCTCTTACTCCGTCTGGGACTCCGCCGCGCCGGCGTCTTCGCCTCCCTCCGGGTCGCTCCGTCGATCTCCTTGCCTCTCGCTCAACGCCTTTCACAAAATCTGGTATCTCCGATGTCCTCGCCGGAATCTGGGTTGCAATGGAAAATGTAGTTTTGTATTGTAAAATTAATTAGTCTTTTGGTAACTAATTTTTGTATTATTGAAAGTTCAGGGAAAAAATTTGTGAAATTTTTTGTATTCGTTTGATATTTGTTTTATGAAACAACCAATTTGGGTATTTGTTGGAAATTCATATGATTGAAATAATAGGTTTAGTGTTCAAAAGCATTACCAAATCATCATAATTCAAAAGTTCAATCCCATACATAATCCAACATCTAAAAAGTCTAATAATGAAACATCCAAATTCTAAAATCAAATGTCCAAAATGCTCCCAAACGGGGGACACCACCCTAGCTTTTTTTGCCTTTACACTGGTTGTTTTTTCGTTAATTTCCATTGGCATATCTTCTCCTTCATTAGATTGAGCATTATCCTCCAACTCATTCTCATTCATTTCAATATCAACCACTGTTTCCTTCGCACCAACAACAAATAATGTTAATTGTTAGAGAAACAAAACTACATCCGACAGCAAAAAAAGAATACAACTAAACTTTTAGGCAAAGCTGAAGAAAGAGAACTAATTACAAAAATAAAAAAAATAAAAAAAGGCGGGAGGGGCGGTTTCCTCCCACCTGAAAAACTCAATCCAGCCCCGCCCGCTTAGTTAGACGGTTTGGAACCACCCGCCAGTTGAAAAGCGGTTTCAATTATAACCGCCCAAAGTGGGCAGGACGGAGCAGGCGGTCACTGCGGTTTTTGAGTTTATTTGTGCACCCCTAAGCAGACCCCTTCGTGCATGTTTTTGCAATTAAACATAGTACTCAAGAACCCCATTGGTAGAGCTGATAGAGAATAAATTTGGGGAGCTAATTTGGGGTTTTTAGGGCCAGTTCTTAGGTTTATTTTATTTAGGTTTTTATTTTAGGATTATTAGAGAAAGTATTTCTTTGCGGTAAAAAAATATATATACATTGGATGAAGAATCATAAATGGACTTTAAAAAAAAAAGAGAAAATAAAATTTTGTATTGGTCTAAAAAAAAGAAATAAAAAAAAAGAGAAAGAAAGGCGGGATTAAAAATATAAGTTTTAAAACGTGAAATAATAGTAAAAAAAGTACAGAATGTGACAAAAAAATGAATATAAAACGTGGAGTAATGGCCAAAAATTGTTACGGAATACTCTTATATAAAGAAAGAAGTGAGGGAAGAAAAAAAAAGGAGTATTTCTGAAAACATCCAAAAGCTGTGTGTGTGCAGGTGTGTGCAGAAGAGTGAGAAAGCAAAAAGTGTGTGTGTGCAGAGAAGTGAAAGAAAAAAAAAGGTGCAGGTACGTGTGTGGGGAAACGTGAAAAGTGAAAGAAAGTGAAAAAAACGTGCAAGTATGTGTGTGGAAAAACGTGAGAAGAAAGAAAGAAAAAAAAACAAAAAGGTTGTAGGTGTGTGCAGAGAAGTGAGAGAAAAAAAGAAAAAAACAAAACAAAAAGGTGTGTGTGTGTAGGTTATAGTGACATGAGGGAAAGAAAAATATAAATTCTCAAAAGTGATATTTTAAAACAATAAGATAAATACATATTTTGATATTTTAATCTTTTTTGTACTAACAATTTTAATTTTTTGTGTTATTAAACAGATACAGTACATTTAAATTAAGTCTTATATACACTTTAAAGTGTGAGATTATAATTTACTCCTTGATACTTTCCACAAAGATAAATCTTATGTACGCCTTATGGTGTGAGATTTTTTATTTGTAATGCTTTCAATAAATTCCTAATGCACTCATGGTGTGTGGTTTCTCGTTTTTATCACAATCCTATAATTATCACTAAGGGTGTGTTCACTTCACCAATCAAAATTTTTACAATTTGAGTTAAAGTTATGATTGGAGTTAGAATCATGATTGGAATTGTGATTGGAATTGGAGTTAGTGTTTAGGAGTGCATTGGAGTCTCAAGTTTGACTCACAATTCGAGCTGTGATGTGTTCATTTCACAGATTCATAATTCCAACTACCATCTCAATTCTCTTTTATTTTAAATGATATGAATGAAAAAAAAAACTTCTACCGTTAAATTGAAGAGGATTCCACGTTTTTTAACATATCATATTCAAATGAGAAGTACATGTAATTAATTAATAGAGTAATAAATTACTTGTCACATAGAAAAAAAAAATGAATGATGAAAAAAAAGAGAAAATAAGCATTGCCTCAAATGTGTCGAATTATACATTGTCAAATAATTGCCTACTATTGATTGTTGTTTGTGCGTTGGGATTGCCACATCGAACTTGCCATTTCATCTCTTATGAGGCGCATCTGCGTAGAAGATGCTGTATTGGTTGCTGTGTCTGTTGCCCGATCTGGGTTGTGATTTTGATTTACATCTTGTTCCGCATTTTCAGGGTCGATTTCACTTACCGGAATCCCATCTTGAAAGTATTGTGTCATAAATCTATCATCATGCTGAAACATGCGTATGAAGTTATGTATGACCGCACAAGCAATAGGTATTTTTACCTGTTTCTTCATTGGGTAGTTGTTAATAATCTTGAGAATGCGAAACCTTGCTTTCCACACCCCAAATGTGCGCTCGATACAATTCCGGAGCGATGAGTGCGTGTAGTTGAACAACTCCCGCTCGCTACGAGGTCGTCCTCGGCGTGCCCTATACTCTTGCAAGTGGTACGTACTACCACGGTATGGTGCTAGGAAACAACTTCTGTTTGCGTAGCCCGAATCTACCAAATAAAATTTGCCTACAAAATCATCCGTGAAGATAATTAAATTCCAACTTTTTACCACTTAACAATGTAGAAACGATGTTTACCTTCAGGAGGAGTTGGAAACTTTTTGTGTCGGCCATCAAGGGCTGATTCAAGCACGCGGGCGTCATGTGCAGATCCCTCCCATCCAGCAAGCATGTATGTAAACTTCATGTCAAACGAACATACACCCAGAACATTTTGAGACATAAATCCCTTCCTATTTCTCCATACCTCTGGATTGTCGGGCGGCGGAACGCAAGGAACGTGTGTCCCATCAAGTGCACCAACACAGTTCTGCAAAGTAAAAGTAGATTAGTCCAAACAAGGTTATGTAACATAAACGAAAGAATAATCAAGTAAAATGTTATGTTGACTTACATCAAACCAAGGCCTGTACTTGCTCCCACTAGTTTCAATGAACGGGTCGATAGTGTTAAAGTATGGGGGCACAATAAAATCATGTCGTAGTCGATATATGGCATTCAGTACAATCATAAAATACTTTGAGATTGTCGCTCCTGAATGCTGCCACTGATGTTGCGTCTCCCTATTACTTTCGCTTTGGCACACAATTGTGAGGAAAATCATCAGTTGTTCATCCACGTTCATATTTCTAGTACTCTTTAACAGATTCTTTTGTTCAAGTAACCAACTCAACCGCTTGAAGCAATCAGTTCTCATTCTTATCTTATTGTAGATCACTAGTTCGTGCCCATCTAACAGATCACCAAGACGTTGATGACCTGTATAATGACTATTATTTCTTGGTCTTGGAAGAGGTCTTTCCAAGAAGTCGTCGCAACATACCCACACTGCGGCAGCACCAAGTACGAAGTCATCTTCAGAGTCGGAATCACCATTCACGGGGTGGGTGTTTCCTTGGTTTGATGGGCTGGCATTCGACATACCTGAAAGTGGTATATGCTCTACAATACCAATATGCAACAAATAATTTGACAACAATTGAACAATAACAATTCTCCAAAGTAAAACCTGTCTCATAGTGTGAAAACAAATGTCATTAACGGGAAATGAAAGGTAGATAGCGGCCGTAGGCCCAATTCTACATTGTTCACAAATGCAAAGATAAATGTAAAACTCACAATGTAACATAGTACAGAAGTCGCTAATAACCAAATAAATGAGAGTTCATGAATAAGAACGTCAACAACATAAACATAAAGCATAAAAATAACTCATTGTTCGAACCACATAAGTTCCTTGCCGTTACACGTGATCGTCATTCCCTTCTCCACCAAATTGGCCTGGGAAGTTGGGGTATTGATTACCCATGTAGTATTGGGGTGGGCGTTGTAAATTGGGAGGGACTTGTTGAAAAGCGTGAGGCGGTTGCTGATAGTTGGGCGATGGTTGAGTTAAGTTTGTGGGTTGTTGGGGAAAAGCTGGATGATTTCCGGGGAATTGTTGTTGATATTGTGTTTGGAATGGTTGGGAACCCATAAATGGTGTTCCGTGGGGCATGTTATATGTGGGTCCAGTGGGTGGCGCCTGTTGATTGGACAAGGCCTTCAACGTTTTCAACACATAGAGCAGGCGTTGGCTTTCTTTTAAACGTAAGAACAAGATCTGACAATTTGGATTCCAGTTCAAATACTCACTAAAAGATACAACCTGTTCGTCGTCAAGTAGCATTTCACTTATGACTTCACAGCAACGGTCAAATGTTGAAGTCGGCGTTTCTCCAGGCTGTGTAGCCCCAGGTTGAGTTGCACCTGAACTAGTGCCTTTGCTAGACTGGCGCCTTTCAAGAGTATTGGCTATACTCTTTAAAAGTATTTTCGCTTCTGGATCCATCATTCTTACCCCGCTCTTGCTTGGTCTCTTCGATATTGGCCGCGAAGAAGAGGCAATATTCAATGAACGTCCCGACGAATGAAGAGCGCTTCTCATTGTTCGAACAAAACCTTCCTCAGTTTCACCAGCTTGAGAGGTTCCGCCAACTACATTCTCCGCTTCCTCTATGTGCGGCTGTGAGGTTTCATCTTCCTCATCGGTATCATCCTGCCGTGATTCGAACGCACCATGTGCATGCGTACTCGCGAAGGCCTCGTAGTAGAGGTCATAATTTTTGAGCGGGTCGTTGCGTGCACGCTTTGCCCATTTGTGCGTCTGTTTACACAGCAACTTGAAAATCAGCAATTGGGTGAAAACATCTTATGCAACTACATATACAGAAGTACATAAAAAAAGTACTAACCTTACAGAAGTCATCCCAGTATTCGTCCGTGCATGTTGGGCAATTTTGTACGGGATCCCATCCGAGGCCGGTGTTCGTGCGAAGGGCAAGCGCAGCATTGAATTTCTTTTTCAGTCTTTCCTTTGCCTCCTTCACTCGGCCTGGAGGAATCGGACTGGAAAATAGAGGGGACAAATCTGTGGCCCATTGCTCCCAATCAGCTGGCTCCGGTTGGCGTCTGTTGTTCTTATTGTAAGCCGCAAGTCGGATTAACAGCGCATGTTTTTGTTTTTCAGACCAATAGAAAGTCACGTCCTCTTCATTTCTTCGCGGCATCTAATACAAACATCAAGACCACCACCCATGGTAAGAAAGAGCAATATGCCACGACAAAGAAGAATGGATGATTAAAGCATCACGTTTCATCTCATTTGGCTCAGAATTTCGTATAAAAGTGTCATCATCAGTTTCGGAGCACTAACCTTAAGGCAAGGCAGTTACGCTACCAAGCCTTATTTATGAGGTGAGGGATGACATTCCTCTTGGAAGTGTCGGAGTACTACACTAGGGGGATGGGTCAATCCATCATAGCCCGCATAAATAAAGCGGCAACTAATAACTGCCTAAATACTTAAAGAGTAGCGCTACAACGAAACTGATATGCATTGTAAAAACGATTCATCATTGCCAATAATCCGGTCAAGATGAAGAAGAAGAGCTCATCTTCTCATCCAAGTAGTACATGTGTAGTATATTTATATAAATGAAACACAAAAAATGCATTAGAAACATGAGAAATGTAAATGTTTCATGAGAAGTAATCGCATAAGCCAATTAGTGTAGTTCTCATTGATAATCAAAATGTAGGGTGATATGGTAAGTTGGAAGTCTACACTTTCGGATTCTAGCCCCTAAGGCTCACTCCTTGTTATGTTGCAACCGCAGAATTGGCCATATGCAGCCGGGCAGCCGGTTGGCTGTCAAATATGTGGCTGGAAACTGATATGGCAAG